TCTGGGTCCGTTTGGGAAACAGAAGGCAACTGTTTAGTCAGCAACTGTCGGCAGGATGTATGCAGAGAACGTGTTTGAGGAGACAAGATGCCTGCTCTCAACTAGCTCCCCATCTAGAAGGGGTTGGGAAACGAGCTGTGAGCTCTCAGATGGCAAGGAACTGGTCTGGCTTTATAACCGCTGCATAGCAGGTGTCCTCTCTGATGGATAAAGGGACGACTGAAGGGATGACACGCGGTAACATGCCACACTGTGATAAAAACACTACGCCTCGTATGGAGGTCACTCCACGCCTCTCGGGGCTTGGGGGGCACGAGCTCCCCGGGGTGAGATTAGTAGCCATGAGCTGGTTCGTGGAAGCCAAGATGGTGTCTAGGCAGCAGAACTGATATGGACCAAAGCGCTGAAAAATGTGAAGGTTTGACTACTGTGAAAATTACAAATCCCACCATCACAGCAGTCGCCTGTGCTCTAAAGCTGGTGGTGAGTCACGGTAAGGAGGAGTGGGAAGAACACTGGCCTGGAGTCAAGAGAGCCAACGTCTAGCACAGGCTCAGTCATACTCCTGTGGGACACGAAGCAAAGCAAAGGGCCTGCCCTGTACGCACCAGGCTTGGGCCACTCACTGGCACCTGTCGCACCTTACCTCCCTGAATGGGTGCAACTCCCAGTGGCAGGTATTACTGTTTCTATTTTAAAGTTGGGGAGGGGCGCCTGGGTGACTCAGTAGGGTTAGGTGCCTGACTTTTTATTTTGGCTCAGGTCATGATCTCACGGTTTGTGGGATCGAGCTCTGCATCAGGATCTGTGCTGACAGTGCGGAGCCTGCTTGGGATTCTCAATTCTCTCTCTCCCTCTCTTCCTAACCCACTCACGCTCTCTCTCTCTCTCTCTCTCTCTCTCTCTCTCTCTCTCCCTCTCAATAAATAAATAAATAAGCGGAAAGTGAGGTTAGGGAACTTGCCTATGATTACACAGCAAATGGGGGTACAGTTAGAACTCCAACTCTTCTCTCCCCAAAGCTCACCATCTTCGTGCACCTGCTGCTCATGTAATAAGAAATATTGAGAGGTTGGGTGCGGATCCGCCAGCCTTGGGCAGGAATTCCAGTGAGAGTCCTAAACCCTCACCTCTACATCTCTGTAACGCTATGTGATGTAGATGAAGAAGATCTAACAAGATCTCGTTGTGGAGAGACCTTTCTTTCAGTAAGGAAAGGTCAATGAAAGAAATCTCAAATTTAAAGCGCAAACACATACAATTACGGACATCAAATTAAAAGTGCCAACTGAAGGGTCATTTGCATTCCTGAACCTGGAGGCAGATGAACCCCAACGTGATGAGCAGAGAAACAGCGTGAAACAGTCACGTGCTAGTCACAAACAATGGAATTGCCACCTGTCTGTCACAATTAGCTATTGAACCCAGCTGTGACCTCCGCTCCAAGCAATCCCATTTCCACAAGGCTGGGCTTTAACCCTGGGCTCCAAACACCTTGCGGCCACCTCCACCCCCCTGGTTTCTGCTCACAGCATTACTCATCAGCTGACTCCTACAGTGGGCTGCGAACAGGGCAGGGGGGCTGGACAATAATCATCCCCTGCTAACACCGAGAGCGGCCCCGCCTTACATCTGCACAATGTACAAAAGGACATTTACATGCATTGTCTCACATTCCTCATCCCCCAACAACCCTGTGAGTTACAAAGTCACGTATTACTACCAGATGTTACAGCGAGCAAGTTGAGGCCTAGAGAGGACATAAAATATGACCCAGGGATTAAGCTAGAAAATGATAGAGCTGTGATTCAAACCTCCTCAAGCCAAGAGGTTGTTCCTAACCTTATCCTTAGATCACCCACCACCATGGCCAGAGACCCCCATCCAGATCTCCCTCCTTGCACCTGAGGTCAGCACGGCAAACGCCCCCCCCCGCCCCCCGCCCCCGCCCCAAGCAGGCACTGCGGAAGTAAGTCCCATTCGGCTTTCCCAGGAAGGACAAATACATGCCTATCTGCATTCAGATTGTCCCAGGTGAGGGCTAAGAATGTACCTGCATGAGGATGGAACACACCTGTATACATGGCAGTGAGAATGCCACACCTGGCTTCTTGGGACTTTTAACCTCCACAAACAGCCTTCCCCTCTGCTAGAATCACGGCTCATTCACTAATTAAAGGGTATTACGCACTTCATTGCACACCAGCTAAGAACTTGGAATAAGAGCTTATGCAAAAGCATTAGCCCTGGAGACGGCACTAGGTATGTTTTACAGAAAAAGAAAAATGGAAAAAGTGATCCACCTGGGACATCCCCTCCCCCATACTTAACTTCTCTAATAAGTCAGCCACCGCACGTAAAGAAAGAAGCCACTCAGCATGGGAAAAACCCAGGCAGGGCCTAATAAATAAGCCAAATGGAGAGGGATGAGCAGCGGAGAGATGGAATGGGCAAGAAGGCCAGTGAACTGACTTCCCCCATCAGCAAGTTTCCCTGCCCTCTTCCGGTGCAAGAACCCCAGAATCAGCATACTATACCCCAGACTAAAAGGTACAGGGGTATAAAGGGGGAGTGGGAAGGATTACCCCTCACTGCAAGGTCTTGGAACAAACCTGGTGCCATGTCCCCTCTCACAGAGGCTCAGCATGGCTTCCCACTGTGATCAGGGGGTGAGAAAGGTCAGCCATCCACTTGGGGCCTCCTCCAGGTTTCCTGGAGTGGGTGCCCTTTTTGACACCGCCCAAACAGCTGGGAGATCCAGCCCCGAGGCTCATCCCCCTTTCGGCGCTGGGGGAGGTCACACATTGAGGGTCAGTCCAAGGAGGGACACCCGGCCAGATGAGCCTTGGACTTGCTGAGGACGGCAGATAATGACATACCACTTACGACTTCATAAACCATATCCACAAGCACCTTTACTATTTGAGAGACATCTTGGAGAGGTCAAAGGCTCAGGTAAGGCTTTAAGGCCTGATCTTTGGACTCCTGGGACTCCGGGGCCTCCAATTATGGGCTAAGTGGAAAACGTCAGCTGTGGGCCAAAGAACCTTTACTTGGAAATGGAACTTGATCATGAACTGAGAGGAAACCACTAGTTGGACACGCAATGACGAGGGTGCTTGAGATCTCGGTCCGGGGTCTGCTACCGCAGTTTCTCTGAGTGTGTTCCGGGTACGTTCAGGCAGAGGAACAGCTGAGTGCATTTCTGAGCTGCAAGGTGCAGTGGTGAAGCTGAGCGTTGCCACGGCACTAGAAAGCACGGGGTGGGATACAGGGATGGTTTCAGCCTCTGAGAATGAGGCATCGTCCCCTCCTCTCTCAAGCCACCTAGACCATCGTTTGTGCATGAAATGTATGAGAGTCGTTTGCTCCGTTCAGAAGGGCTTCCAGTACGGCCGGCCCCTTCCTCCAGTTCAGACCCCCTTCCCCTTTCGTATAAATGCACTGCCACTGCTTTTGCTGTGCAAAAGCACAGTGTTTGAAACGGATGGTAAAAACAGCTCCCCCAGGAAACAGAGCTCTATGGGATGCCCCCCACCCCCGGCACTGTGGGCTTTTCCAGAATCACAGACAGCTAACTGCAAGCACAGAGGCTGCAGACAGAAACTGGTTATGGCATTAACTGGTTATGGCAGAAACTCAGAGCAAGAGGCCAGCAGGCAGTGGACCTGAGAGCGGGTGGAGAATGGGTGCACTACCAGCAAGGTGGGGCATGTCTTAATTAGGCAGAGGGCCCCGGACAAGTGCTGGTGACAGAGCCCATCCAGTTCCTTTGCAACTGCTGCACCTGTCATCCAGAACCTACCACTGCAATTTGGCTCAAGGCTCGGAGACTCAAAAGCTCTGGCTTCTCCCTAAGGCAGCTATGGGAGAAGCAGCCACCCTGGGCTTCTGGAGGGTCCCACAGCCCCTGAGGCCCCAGACCCGCCTGGAAGCAAGGAGGCGTGCGTAGCTGCAGTCTCACCCCCTTATGCCAAGTTATGCCTAGCAGCCCACTAACTGGGCAAACGGAGAACCCTGGCAGCGACAGCTCTCCTCCCATCCTTTCTCTGCCCCTCCAGGAAGCCCCATCCTGAACGTGAGCCACATCCCCCTCCGCCTTTCCTCTTTACTCAGCTCCACACTCCTCCTCCAGGCTTTCCAATCCCACAGCTGCTCGCCCCCTCCCCACACCACTCCTCTGGCATCCACGTTGTTAAGCGACTGCACAGGCAGCAGCCCGAGCCTCTGAGTTTCAAGCCGAAGCTCCCAGACAAGCCAGCCTGGACCGCTTCGCCCTCACAGGCATCTCCCTGACCGTCCTCCTACACACAGGCCTCCACTTACACGCTCCTCTTGGGCCCAAGCACCCTGGACATCTCTTTGCTTCCGACCTGCCAGCAGACCAGATGGAGACCGGGGGGTCCCCCGCCCCCGACTCTCCTCTCCCCACACGGAGCTCGGAATCCACGCAAGAAAAGGAAGCACAGAGACTTCCACCCCTGTGAGCATCACCTGCTCCAGCAAGCTCCCAAAGCCACTGATACCACCCAGGCTGTCTGGGGCCCCACACCCCCTTCTCTGGCAGCTTCAGCTCCAGCCCAGCCCACAGGATGCAGTGCCTGATGCCACTTCCGAGCAGAGAAAGAGACAGAGAGGGGGGCAAAAATGCCACCTCGTCAATGACAAGCTGTTCCAATCACACAGCTCAGCGACCAAGTGCCCCGGACAGCGGACAGCTCGGGCCTCCTCCCTCTAGTTGGGAGGAAGCCAGCTCAGCACATCTGGGGAAGCGATCCCCCACCGCAGACCCCCTGCTCGCCCTCCACGCCCGACCAGACCACACTGCCCCATCCTGGCAGGCACACCGCTCCAACCAGTTCCAACAACTCTGGCCAACTACCCTCCTGGCCTTCGACTCAGGCACCACGCTCTCTCCTGCTCCGGGGAACGCGGAGACCCCAGCGTGGCACTTCTCAAGAGAACCATGCGCAAAAGTGAGCTGAAAGCCAAGTACTCACGGTGGTGAAGTCCTGGTGGCCGCACTCCTGCCCTTTGAACTTGCAGTAGAGCATCATATCCTTCAGGTCGTGGCCCACGCGATGCAGGAACTCCAGCATGCTGAACTGCTTGGGTTTGTAGTGTTTGAAGTTGGCCTTCTGCCGCAGGGCCTCCAGGACCGTGGGGTCTGCCAGGTGCGGGTCCGGGATCTGCAGGTTGACGTCGAGCAGGGCCAGCAGCTCCCCGGCGTGGTACAGGTCATTGGTGGTCAGCCTGGAGAACCGGAAGCCGTTGAGGTTGCAGAGGGTCACGGCTGGGAAGACCAGGCTTTGGGCCACCACCTCATCCACCTTGGTGACGTGCTGGTAGGAGAGGTAGTAGGACACTCTCTCGGAGCTCTCCACCAGCAGCAGGCCCAGGGAGCCCACGAAGGCCACGGCCCAGAGCACACGCCGGATGGTCATCGGCCCATACACGAAGATGTGGCGGATGCCGTGGAGGGTGGAGGTGTTGGCGAAGATGTGGATGCTAGAGGGCTGCAGGCTGCCCTCGCTGGGGCTCTCCTTGAGGTCCATGGGGACCCTGTGCAGTTCCGCAACTGGCTTCAGGTTGATCCAATTTCGGAGAAGAGTTCCCAGTCCTCGGGCTCTGCTTAAACCTTGACGTTCAAGGGAGAGAACACGGCAAGGCAAGCATCAGGCCAGACGCCTGGAGTTTATCCTGGGAGCCCAGCCGCACGCTGCCAGGGGTGAGTGTTTATATAAACCCATTCAAACTCTAGCTCCTGATTTTTTCCAGGCGATAAGGAGGGCTGGTTTTATTTAGGGAGACACCAAGGTGATGTGGAAGAGATGTGGGTGGGAAGGGAGAGCTTAGCCAATGGAAATAAAGTCCTCCCCCCTACACACGCCACTAGAGACAAGATTAAAAGCGAGAGCGAGGGAGAAAATGCTTCAAACAAGTCGCTCCGGCAGCCCGGAGCCTGTTAGGCAGCGCATAATGCCCCGCGGTGAGCATCCCGGGGATGTCGCGCGGCCACGCTGATGCACTGCGGGCGGGCGCAGCGCGAGCCTCCCGAGCCGCCGCCGCGCCGCTCCGGACCCCGGATTCCGCTTCTCACCGCCGGCCGCCGGCCGCCGGCCGCCGGCCCTCCTCGCCGCCTCCTCCTCCGGGCCCCCTCTTTCGGGCGGAATTCCAAATGCCGGCGGGCCGCGGCCAGCGCCCCGGAGAGGGGGCAGCGCGCCACCGCGGACAGGCGCGGACCGGGAGGCCGGCAGGACGCCGGGGCTCCACGGGCCTCGCCTCTCCCCCGCCTCCCGGAAGTAAGGCGAGACCCAGAGGCCGCCGAGCGAGCCGGCCTCCTCCCCTCCCCCGCCGCCCCCTATCCCGGGCTGCGAGGTGGGGGAGGCGGGGGAGACGGGGCGGGGGGGGGGGTGGGGGGGGGCGGGGGGGGAGGGGGGGCAGGGAGGCACGGGGGCGAGAGGCCGGGGGGAGGGGAAACCACGCGAAAGTTTCTTTTTGGCCGTTTTGGGAGGAGCTAGTGGGGGGAGGGGGGGGCGGCCTTAGCCGAAGGTGGAGTGAGGACGTGACACCCCTCCCCGTAGATAGATGGCAGGGAGGCACTGGAGAAACTCCGGAGAGCCAGGTGTGGGGGTGGAGGCAGAATTCCTTTGCTCGGATTCTGCTCCCGGGTCACACACACTCAGCCCGGGGCCCTCAGAGCGGAGATGCTGAATGTGGAGAAGGTAAGAAGCAACCCAGAAACCACAGTGCCTCTGCCACCGGCCGGCGGGAGGGGGACATTCCAGGGAGCGAGGAAGCCCCTCCGGAGACCCGGATAAGGAGCAACAAGTAGCCCCCACCCCACAGAGCCGCTGTGCTGTCCCGAGGTTCTGTGTCTGCAAAAGAAAGACAGCTGGGGTTCCAGGTAGGGCTGGCTGGCCCCCTTTGGGCTGTGTGTGTTCTGGCCCCGGATTTGCCAGATGGAATCACAGCTGGAGATAGAGGTGGGGGGCATAGGACTGGGGTTTGAGCAGCCTACCTCCTTTTCCTGAAAATCCACTGGAAGTCAGCCCCTGCTAGGAGGTGGGTGTGGCTTGCCCCGCGCCAGGGATCAAATTGGTTGGAACCTATGGAGTCAGGGATGCTAAATCCTCATCAGGAGGAAAGGAACAGAAAGTTCCAGTGGCCAACCCAGTGCACACAGCCAAGCTGGGGCAGAGCCACATGGAGGCGCCTTGTTGAGCCAACCTGGTGTCCCCAGGGCACGCCAAGCTTAAATACTCCTTGGAAGGCGTTTGAGAAGAAGGCAGCCTAGGGAATGTCCCTCCTGGATTGTATCTACTTCAAAATATTTCTCCATCCCATCTGCCCTAAACCAGACCCAAACAGAACAGAATCCGGATGCTCTCTGAGGCAATAAGCATGTGGCATTGAATTACTGATGTATTGATCCTGGGAGCTTACCGGGCGGAAGCATCACAAGGAAGCACAAATGCCAGAGGGTACCCAACCTCATCCGTGTGCCACCTCCGAGGTCCCAGACCCCTGCCTAGACAGGCAGAGGGTCTTCAAAACAAGGGTGCCAAAATTAAGAACCTGTCATATGTCAAGACCTGTGTGAGCGTGTCTTATCTCACTTAACCCTTCCAACCGCCGTGGCAGGTATATGCTGCAATATCACCTCCAGTATACAGATGAGAAACTGAGACTCACAGAAGATGCCCCCACCAAGTTACACAGCTAATAAGTTCCAGAGCTGGGCCTTGAACTCAGGCATGCTTGCCTCCAAAACACAGGCTCAAAAGGCAAATCCAAACACTCCCTCCCAAACGTAGGAAGGGGCAAGCATTTCTATCCCACTTCCCAAATTACACACACACACAAACACACACACACACACACACACACACACACACACACACACACACTATGAACCACTTCCTCCTTCCACATACAGAAAGCAGCCCTATCCCTCCTCCCCACCAGGCCAATCAATCCCTGTTGTCCGTTTTTTAGCTCAAGTCCCTCCTCCTACAGGAAGACTTCCCCCATGAATCTAATCTTGGCTCATCAGTTTGGTTAACAAGTGTGTTGAACTCCATCTGCACCACACCCTGTATTGGTTTGGGGGAAATGAGGAGGAATCCAACGCATTTCTTACCCTTGACAATTCAGGATTCAATGCGGGCAGAGGTGGTGTTGGTTTGCAATCTGGCCCCTGGACACAGACGGCAAGGAGAGACCAAGAAAGAAGCAGACCTCTCCAGATGGGTAGGTGGCGGGTTACATAAGCCGGGAACTGAACTAACAAGGCTTGTCTTGGGCACCACAAGAAGTGTCGATTTCCATGCCTGCTTGCTAGAACATTAAATGTTTATGTAGAGGCCTTAACTGGCCTCAGTCACATGTGCCACCCAGATGTTCTCAACAACACCTTGCTCTGCAGAGCTGTGTCCTTGGGCAGCGTGGGGAAGGCACGCAGAATGCACATTTCAAGAGGGACTGAGGAGCCTCCGACTGCCCTGGGTCAAGCTCGGGGTTAACCAGCGGTCTCGTCCTCTCGATCACCTCCTTCAACATTCCACCCCTCTTGACCGGCTCTTCTAATCTCACATGCCCCCCTCCTCCACTGCGTGCCTGAGGGGTCAGCAAGGGGAAACCCCTTGCTGCTTCAGGGTGGCTCATTCGGGGCAGCTCTTCAGCCTCCCTGAGACAGCTACCATAGCAACAGCCTAGGCACAGTCAAGAGAATACAGATTAAGATCATTCTCCCCCAAACAGTATTCTCCATGAAGAGCCCCATCGTCTGAACCACTGATTTATTAAAACCTGTAGGTTTGGGATCAGATCACTCAGGATGTTCCCTTGTGTCCTCGCGTGATTTAAAAAAGATGGTACATCAGCAGACTCACCAGGTATGAACACACAACATTCTGTTGGGATAATGGCACAGGTGCCTCCTTGCAAGGCAGTCATAACATCCAAGGCCATCTTACTTTGGAGGACAGCTTTTCCCATTAGACACGTCAGTGTTCGGTAAAGACAGGCCTTGCCGGGTGAGTTCAGTAAGGGCTTCTGTGTGTGCTGTCTTCTAGGCCAATGGGGGAGACAAAGACGAGCCAAATGATTGTAGCAGTGGAAAACAGAGCGTGTGCCCCTGGCCTTGAGGAGAGGGAGCTTGGCAGCTTTAGGAACGTAGCCTTGTTGTATTTTCCATACATGTTAGCCGGGGAGGCAGCACTCTTGGGTGTGAGGAGATGCACTGGGGGGTGGGCCAGACCAAGACCCCCACCTTCTCCCCTCTCTCATTGGTGCATGTACCATTCCATGTATGGCGTTTTCAACAGGTTCAGCCTGCAGCAGGACAGCCAGATCCTCAGGGAGATTGGAGCGATTCCCCCTCCCCCCACAGAGAGATGCAAAGTAATTCACCCATCCTGGTGAGATGTCTAACTGCAAATTCCAGTAGATGATGCATGATGGGGGCTTGGTGTTTTCAGCAGTATAGCACATCGATCCACGGTAAGAGTCTGGGCAATGGCTATTTCCAGAAACTTCCGCGCCTAATGGCATGGAGTGTCTCAGTAGGGGTCCCCGTTGTAGCATATAGAACAACAGACCCTATTGGCGGATGATTCAAATGCATTAAAGCCTGGGATAGCACTTTAGTCTGCCTGGCCACAGTGGTTTTACTGGTTAGTAATTTAGGCTTCTGCTTTACTACTCTTTTTTTCCTTTCCACTAAGCCTGCTGCGTGCAGGTGTGAGGGGAGGTGAAACTTCCACTCAATGTCATGTTCCTTTGCCCAGTCTCGGAATGTGACCCCTGATCACTGTTTATATGGCATGCGTATCCATACGTGGTACTCAGCTTCTCTAGTCCTCTAATGGTGGCGGCCTGGTTTCCGTGGTGATAAGGAAAAGCTTGAGTAAGGCCAAGTGTCCACACAAACCGGGCATATTTAGAATCCTCACTCAGAAGGAGGGGGCCAATATAATCAATTTTCCCATCTCTCACCAGATGGGAATTCCTGAGGTTGGCTCCAGACCCCTTTGGCAGTTGCCCTGGGTATTGTTTGTTTATTTAAGATTTTTATTTTTAAGTAATCTCTATCCCCAATGGGAGGGTTTCATGACTTTCATGTCTCTAATATCAAGACTCATGACTCTAATATCAAGAACCGCACACTCTACCAACTGAGCCAACCAGATGCCCCAACCCGGGGCGTTGGAGAACACACAGAACATGTAGTTAACCAAGTCACTGTATTTCAAGGGCAATCCAGCATCCTTGGTAATATGCCAGCCTGCCCCGGCACAACAGTGGCCACTCTTCCTAGGCACCTAATTCAGCTGTATCAACTGACGGGGCACTTGCTAAGAGTAGGGAATCAGTTTCCTGATTGCCACGGGTGTCCGAGCTAGGATGTGGAACACAGGATTGCAGGTGAACCCAAATGTCTTTTCCACCTTTTCTGAGACATGAAGGCTTACTCATGATCATCCGCCTCTCAGCTTCCCATTGTCCAAGCCATAGAGCTAATCCCTTTAGAATAGTCCACTGTCAGTGCGAAGAGCTAGTGGCCAGGACTCATGAATAATCACAAGCCAAACCCCTCTGAATTCAGCCTACTGGCTGCCATGGTTCCTTTCCGTTTCCAGGCATCAGCAGGAATTTCCCCCACCCCCTCCCCATAGACCATAGGGGCCACCATGAGAAGGGAGAGGCGCTCCACATTCTACAGGACCTAGGAGCCCCTGCATTTCTAGAAACAGTAGGCTGGTGGACAGAGTGCCCCTCTGCTGCAAATAGGCATGGCCCTTTGGTCACAATGGGGGCTTGAGCCGTGGTGGAAGTGAGTGGATGGTACACGTTCTCAGCCCATCCCCTGATAGAAAAGCGGAGCGCTTACCAGGATATGCTTGTTCCTTGGTGAGAGGCTCCACCTGGAGGAGCGCGCTGTGC